TGGTTCCTAGGGTTTTTGGGCCTTCCAGATCCGATTTTGAGGGTCTCGTGGCCAATTGAGATGAGTTAAAGGTAGTTTTGACTTGGGTTAAGCCAGTTCAGGCATTTTAGAGACCGATTCGATGTGGTTCGAGGATCGTGAAGGCAAGTTTAGTCAATTTGAGGATAAATAAGTAGAGTAGTGACTGTTAGTGGGTTGAAGGGTTTCAAAGTGAGTCAATGATATCTCGATATGCGTGCCAAGAGTCCGGACTTGGGGGGGAGCCCTGGGTCACTTCTGATGAGTGAGTTTTGGGAGTAACCTCAGTTTCGATTTTGACTCGTGGTTTGATGATTGTAGATACTCCAGGGGAGATTCGCTTTGATCGGTGACTTGTCTACTTGAGATTCGATGTTCAGTTTTGACGTGTCCAGTGAGTGACAGTACTCTGTGTATATCTGTTTGCATCCTGATTTTTCTGTTAGTTTCTGTATTTGATTTTTGAACATTGTTATTATTTTCGGTTTTATATCTGTCTGTTTTAGAGTCTGATAAGCTTGAAATCATCTCTGTAATCACATGTATATATTTGCCTTGATGCGATATATCTTTTGTTTTGTATATTCGTTATGAATATGTGTGTGATTCTGAATATGTGTGTGCAATTTCGGTTTTTCGGTTTCGACGCTGGCCTTGTTCAGGGGTGCCAGGGACTCGGCCATCGGACGGTCGGCCTCCGTACTGTGCGGGGAGTGCCCTGAGTCCGGACGGTGGGCCGCCGTGGCGTTTGGGGAGTGCCCTGGGCCCAATATGGTAATTCTAATTCTGACTCAGGCTCTGATTCTGGCTCTGACTTTGGCTCTAACTCTGGCACGAGATCCCAGTGCGACATCTGTGTTTAATGACTCTGATTCTGATTCTGGGATGCCAGGGGCTCTGCCATTGGGCAGTTGGCCACTGTCGCACGAGAAGCGCCCTGTCACGACCCAAAATCGGATACGTGACCGGTGCAAGAGTCAAAATAAATCCCAACTCATGCAGGCCTAACAGAAACACTGAAATTTAATTGAAAAAAAGAAAGTCTGATATAACTCAAAATAAAATCCAAACCAAGCTAACTGAAATATCAAACATAAAATAGAATCCTGTTTGTAGTTAAATAAAGCATACTAAAATCCTATGAATACAAAGTCTGATAAAACTGAATAACTAACTCTGAACAGAAAAATCAAAACAACTGATGACACGGCCTCCTCTCAACAAGTAGGATCCACTAGATCAGCGTACTCAGAATCTGGAAAAAAATAAGGGTGAGTCTATTGACCCAGTGAATAATAATCTGCATTTACAAGATCAAAGGACATGCATACAGTTATAACAGGTAATTTTTACTAAAACATATTTATTTTTCCAAACACTTTCCAGCATTAAGGAGTTCGTAATTCTGAACGTTAACATATATCGGGAAATAGATCAGCGACACACAGTCAATCGATAACCAAGACAGCGACACACAGTCAGCTGATAATCAAAGCAGCGACACACACAGTCAGCTGGTAATGGCAATAATGCCCGGGTAACAACATGGCAACATATGCCCTGATAACTGAATGGCAACACATGCCCTGAAACTGAAATGGCAGCATATGCCCTGAAATGTCTAGCACCATCACCCCTGCTAGATGGGACCCGTACAGGGTGCAAATCATGCTAACGTATACCGCCGTCAGCTACAGTGTTCAAAAATCCGAAACTTCCGCAAAATAATGTTTTCCAAATTTAACAGAACAGTTAACTGAATAATTCTATGTACTTATATAAAACTGAGTCAGATATAAATAACAGATAAGTTTCCAAAACAAATTCAAAAATTACATGCATGTCCCTTGTCATATAATTTAACAAAAATTTATTCAGATTTGCAGAAAATTAGTTAATAAATAAAAACAGATTTAAATTAAATATGGAAAGCAGAACGGCTCATAAATACACATTACTACTCACAGCACGAAGGAACCGAGAAATCCGACACCTAATGACACAGCTTAACCAGAATCGGGCGATCGATCTAGAGTTAGGAAATAATAATATAACTAAATATATTTTTCTAATAATAGCAATTTAAATTTAAAAGTAAACTAAATTTCTAGGTTTGCGTGCCCAAGCCCCCTCATTATAATTATTTAAATCCCAAACCGACCAACTAGTTCATGAACCGGATCTCAACGTCATGAACCATCTCCTTAAATCAGAATATTAAACTCCCAAAATAATTAAATAAGGTGAACCGACCATTAAAGGAATGAACCGGCTATAAACCGGTCGTTCGGAGGCTAAACCGGCCATGAACCGGTCTCTAAACACTAAACCAGCCTTATTTTAATTTCCAAAATATTGATCCTGTTTGGAACCAGTTTAAAAGATACTGAACCAGCCCAAAAGAGCACTGAACCGGCCTTTATAGCATTGAACTGGGCGGTTTAATGCATTTTAGCCTTGAACCGGCCTTAAAAATCAATTATTTTGCTGAATCAAAACTTAAATAATTACATTAATTATTTATTTATGTTATTAGACAATAATCCAGAAATTAAACTGCCAAAAATTCATGTGAAACGGCTTGGTTTCTGTTGAACCAGCCGATTCTTTGCATATTTTTTACCTAAAATGCCCTGAACCGGGCTAAAAACAGAATTTTCTTCACTGAACCAGAACCTCCCTAACTAGATAAATTGATTATCTATCTACTTATCCTCTGAACCGGAAGAAAACCGACTGGTTTTTAGGTGAACCGGCTGGCTTTTTATTAACTGTCTTTATTAATATATTTATTATTATTTTATTCTTAATTCAGACCCAACCCGTGTGAAGACCCGTTTTTTATACTCGGGTTGTTCACGGCCTGTCGACTGTTTGATTTGGAATTTAACAACAAATTTCAAATTCTTACCTGAAATTGCTTCCTCAGCCTGAGTCGCCTATGGCCAACGATCTCTTCATGCTTGGTCTCGTGAGTTGATTTGATCGGTGGGAGGAGATTTGATGGATTTCACGGCCGGAGGTTCGGGTTTTTGTTCGAGGAGAAATTTGGTTTGAAGATGCATCTTGGCAACGAATTGACTTGGGTTTTGATTCTAAAGGACCGACGGTCATGTATATATACTTAATTGAAGCAATCTTCCCAAATCCCCTACAGATCTTGAATGAATCTTCACTCGGATTCCGAACGAACGATTCGGGAATGAATCCCCAAATCGAACTTTTTGGATTTCCAGATTATGTCCCCCGATTTTTGATTACTTCTAGATTCCATCCCTGCTTTTCCAGATTTCGCTCAATTTAATCCCTAAGGTTTCTGATTTCTTTTCAATTTAATTTCAATGTTTTGATTTAACTCGATTTGGTCCTTGCTATTTCTGATTTAATTAGATTTAGTCCTTAATTATTTTGATTCTTTTAATTTAGTCCTCAAGTTACAATTTTTACACAAATACCCCTATTTAGGGGTATTACACGCCCTGGGTCCATCTGTGACTCTGATTCTGATTCCGGGATACCAGGAACTCAGCCGATGGACGGTGGACCCCTGTACTGTGCGGGGAGTGCCCTGGGTCCGACGGTGGGTCGCCGTAGCGTACAGGGAGTGTCCTGTATCCACATATGGCTCTGATTCTGTTATGTGTTATGTGTTATGTTCTGATACTCTAATTTGATTCTGATTTTCTGGTTATGACTGCGCATATGAAACTATATGTATTAAGTTAAGAAATGTGATTTTTGTAAACCGTGCTGTTACTTGTGTGATATATGTATTTTGAATAATCTGAGTTTCTGTTATGGTATGCTCAGTTAGTACTGTCATTCACTGAGTTATACTCATCCCTTTTTCCTCCCCACTTTTTTAGATTTTCAGTGTGATTAGCAGCGGTAGTTCCTGCGACACTTCCGTCACCACTACATCGACCTGATTATATGGGCACTTTCTGTATACTTACCTTTTTGTACTCTAGACGCTCCGTGTACAGCCAGATATATTTTGTTACGTGTATATATAGATAGTTTTCTGATGATAGGTGTTAGTTGCTTCAGTTTGGTCAGAGGCTTACTAAAGTTGGTACGCCAATCCTAGTGCCGGTCATGCACCCCGGGTTGGAGCATGACATAAAGACTCTTTACTTATTTTGTATTTTCTTGCAACAGAAAAATGCAAAATAAGGATTAATTTGTCAACTAACGGTCTAATTTTGAGGTTTCACAGGCAGCTGGCTGTTAGTGATCTGAAAGCTACCCCTTAATAATCAAAGTTGTTTGCCTCCCCATCTTTATGTCTGTATTTAATATTAAAAATTGACCAAGTGAATAAGTAATTTTAATATTTATTAAATTAGTATTACATACTAATTTTAATATTAATTCAATGAATAATATTAATATTAACATAATAAATTAAAATCCAATATTTACAGGTATAACTTCTTAAAAATTTCAATGAAATTTCCAAAATTATTGTACATTTGAAAAATGAGAAACAGTCAATGACTAATGCATCCACTTTCCTGTAAATTTCTTATGAACCTCATCTTCTATTTATAAAATCGCCACTTCTCTTCTTTCTCATTCCCAACACTCACATATCTCTCTCCTCTCTCCTCTCTCCTTCCTCTCGCTCTATCAGTGGTTGCGGCTTTTTGCTACGATTCAGGTCCGGTTCGTGACTCTCGGAATCTCAAGGGTAATTGCCATTTATTTCCTCTCTCTCTTGTGACGAATTTCTCTGTGCACTTCATTAATGAGGTAAACAATTTTTAATCAAGAAATCCTAAGAAAATCATCTAATAAGATATATATAGGAGGAAATTAGTACACAATAAATACTATTGCTTACTGGTAATAGTTGGATCTGCTTGCAAGTTGTAACAATAGCCCAAGGACTAATTTGAACAAATCAGAAATTGCAAGGAGTTTATTTAAGCAATTATCAATTAAGCATCCAAACATGTAAACAGTCCACTCGGGTAGTCATGAACAATTGCCGTGAATTTCTCTTTCACCAGAGACAAAGAACTTCAGCAGCTTCAATCGACGGAACTCCAGCAACGATCCGGAAGGCTGAAGGTATAACAGAACACTGATTTATTACCTTAAAAGAATTGTCAATAATCGCAAATTATATTATTTATGCTCAAAATTGATTTTAAACATTATTTATGCATTAATTTTTTAATTAAAAAAGCATTTCATTGCATTTGATTCGAATGTGGATTTAAAATTGTGAACCCTAAGCTCTGAAAAAAACCCTATACATACCTTAAAATTCCCTTTTTTAATGACATACCCCGCACAGAAAATCCTATTATGTACCAAAAATCAGCTGGAAAGAGGTATATCTCCCACCCACAACGTGGAAGACTTTGGACACCTTGAGCTAGACCAACTGAAACTAGAATCCTATTATTATATTTTGATCATATTTTAGTAAATAACTAAAAAATTAAAATTAGTATAAAAAAGCCAAATAAAGGCCCTTATTTTCTAAGGGCTTTTTATCGTGGTTATTTTAGGCTCGCACTCTGGAGAGATGCTCGTAGAAATGCGTCTTATGGTGTAGAAGAGTTTGATAAATGAGTTTGGGAGAGTTTGATAGGGTTGAATGAATTTCTGATTTTTCCTATTCTAGTTCAGAGAGGTCTTGTTTGAAAGGCACTAATGGAGCAGAGGTTGAAGGAGTCAGCCGAGGCAGGGGATATCAGTGCTCTGTATGCGTTAATAAAGCAAGACCCTTATATTCTTGAACGCGTAGATGAGATTCCTTTCGCTGACACTCCCTTACACGCAGCTACTTCTGCCGGACAAACCTTTTTGCAATCGAAATACTTCGCTTAAAACCATCATTTGGGAGGAAGCTGAACGTGGATGGCCTAACCCCACTCGACCTGGCTTTACAAAATGGGCACTCTGAGACCGTGAGGCTTCTTGTGAAGTTTGATGCTGGGCTTATCCGAGTCAAAGGAAGGGAGAGTTACACTCCTTTGCATTATGTAGCTGAGACAGACAACATCGATCGTCTTGCTGAATTTTTGTACGCTTGCCCTGCGTCGATCAAGGACTTGACCATCCGAGATGAGAGTGCTCTGCATATTGCAGTGAAAAACTCCAGGCTTAGAGCTTTTAAGGTTTTGCTTGGCTGGCTCTCCAGGACCCTCGAAATAGAAGTGCTGAACTGGAGGGACGGGGATGGCAACACTGCATTGCATATAGCAGTGGCCACTAATCAAGTTCAGGTATGTTAGTTACTTGTTTCTCCCCTATTTCTTGTTTCTCTACTACTTCAAGTGGGTCAGGTATATATGCAGGAATGGTTCTCTAATTTGTTGATTTTTTCTATATAATTTTCTTGATAGTCTTTATATTATTTTGCACTGAACTGATCATTAAATAACTTGCAAGAAGTGGTATATAATTTTCTTTGTGGTCTTAAATTACATTTAAGGGATCAAACTGATCAAAACGAGACAATTTAAAAGAATTGATGGAAAACTCTTAACTTTTTTTCTCTGCATATATCATAAATTTTTATAAACAATGCAGGTTGTGAAAATGCTAATATATAGGAGAGTTAGAACAAATCTCAAGAATTGGGAGGGATTAACTCCCTAGACTTGGCGTTGAGACTTGAAAACAATGAGGAGGTCCGGAAAATTTTACTCCGTGTAAATGCTTTGGTATCTTCACCTCTCCGGAAGACCTTTAACCTCGCCGAGTTCTTGACTTCAAAAGAGCGGTGTTATGAGACCGTGCTGAAATATCTTCTTTATTGGCAAAGAGATTTTACAATGGACAAGCGAAATATTGTACTGATGGTGGCTGTACTGATTACCACCGCAACTTACCAGGGCGTACTCAGTCCCCCAGGAGGAGTTTGGCCAGCTCAAGTCGACACCAGTCTACCTAATTATTCCATCACCTTCGCTAAACGGCAGTTTTCCCCACCCTGTGGTGAATAACATCTCCGTGGTTGCTCTTAGGCAAAACCAATCTTCAAACAGCACTGCCGGAAAAGTCGTCATGCATGGGGACGATTTGCTTGTCTTTTCATTGGCTAATACAAACAGTTTTCACTCTCTCAATCCTGGTGCTCATCAGTGCCCTTCCTTGGGCACCTTATAGCTTCTTGGTGCATACGTGTTTGTACTTTTTGTGGATGAGCTACAGGGTTTCCTTTGGAACCATAGCTCCGTCGACTATTTATAACTCAACATTGTTTTCTGTCTGCTTGTTTATTTTTGTTCTTGGTTATTATGCAAGGCCTGTCTTTTCATCTATTTTGGGCATCAAAATGAACTCAAATCATTATGGAAGTGGTCTCTATGGAAGTCCTCTCGATGCAAGTTTAATACGATACATGTGGGTGATCCGCCTTCAACTGCTATTAGGACTCTTTGGAGGGGTAACCATTCATTAAAGTCAACCACTCTTAGACCGACCAAACCGGTCCAACGGGCAGCTCATGCTGTGATCCAGAAGCACAATGGATGGTTTGCCATTTAATATCTTTAACGTCGTATATTTATGCTTTAAGTGTTTTTTTATCATTAACCAGGAGAAATTGGCATGTTTAATGCTGCCTTGTTTGCTTCATTTCTTTCTTTATGTTCTTCCTTCGGAGCAACGTAAAGGAGTAACGTGTCTTAGATAGAGTACCAACTCACCTTGTACGTTCTTAACAAAGGGTTGTCTTCTATTCGATCCAAAATATCCGGGGCCTCACGCAGTTTGTTGTACAAAGCATCAACGTCTCCCACCTCAGCAGCCTGCTTCAAAAATTCTGTATCTTTAATGAAGAAAGATCAAGCTAGTTCTAGTGCTTTATAATGTCTCTTCTTTATATAAAGACATCCTTGCAGCTAATTATATTCCAATGCAATTACTGGAGCACTAACGGAATAGCCATCTTCTTTTCTTCTTTTGGACGGGTATGGAATGACTTTGTGCTCTTGTAGAGATATTTGTTTGAGCCGAGCTATTCCAAAGCAGAAGCTGCATATGAAAATTGACCCTAAATTTGAGGTCTTTATTTAAATTATTTCATCAACTAAAAAAACATAGGTCTTTGTTTAAACCCAGTTATTCTAAAATAAAAGCTACCCACAGTTTAAGGTCTTTGTTTACATTAATTTCATGTAACAAAAAATAGGTCTTCGTTTGAGTCCAGCTATTATAAAGAAAAAGTTGTTTATAAAACTTGATCCAAAATTTGAGGTCTTTGTTTAAATTATTTCATCAACTAAAACACACATAGATCTTTATTTAAGCCAAGCGGTATCCTAAAGCAAAAGTTGTATGTGAAAGTTGATCCAAAATTCAAGGTCTTTGTTTATATTATTTCGTCAACCAAAAAAACATATAGGTATTTGTTTAAGCGCAACCCTTCTAAGCAAAAGCTGTGTAAAAGTTGACTCAAAATTTAAGGTTTTTATTTAATTATTTCATCAACTAAAAAACGTTGGTCTTTATTTGAGCTAAACAACTCTAAAGCAAAAAATTATATGTAAAAGTTGACCCAAAATTTAAGGTCTTTGTTTTTAACTATTTCATCAACGGAAAAACATATATGTGAGCCGAGTTATTCTAAAGCAAAAGCTGTATGTGAAAGTTGACACAAAATGTAAGCTTTTTGTTTAAATTATTTTATCACAAAAAAACAGAGGTCTTTGTTAGAGAAAACTATTTTTTAAATAGAATCGATATAATCATTATTGAGCAATTTGAAAATAGACAAAATAAAATAAATTGAACGGATAAAGATAAATATATCAGATATAAAAACTTTATCTAATTTGATTATAATAATTGTGGACCTTTATATGGTGAAAATTGATGATGTGTTATTATTTCTTCTTATCAAGTATAATTAATTACAGGTATATTTATAATATTTACAAAGAAACTACAGTAATTTCCCAAACATTTTTTGTTGTATAACTATCATAAAATTTAAAGATAATATGATATTTAAATATAATTATTAAGTGCATATTTTCTCTAAGATCGAAAAGAGAAAGGTAATATATATATATATATATGTATATATATGAAAGTCAACCCCGACGAATATTTTTAAAGCCACCATATGTGCGCTCGATAAATTATATATTGACTAGCTATGCCTTAACGGGTGGTGTGTGACTAGTAAGTTCTATCCACTCTTGTTTGTTTTGGAGCCTTTGCTTTCGAAAAGTTTTTTGTGTTGAATTTTTGAAAGTAAAAGTACAAAGTCCTCTAAGAACATGTTTAATATAGGACTAAACTGAGGGCACAAATAAAATTTGAGGTACAGCTACGCCGTCAACCAAAAAAAAAAAAAAAAAGGCCAACTATAGAATTGAGCCCAGACCAAAAATGATTTGTTTGTAGCTTTTTAATCAATAACAATAAATAGTGGGTAATTGCACAATTCTAATCTTTCAAGGAGCAAATCAAATTAATTTAGAATATAATTAAAAAACTTGTTACAGCCAATGAATCAAAAGGGCTGAAGTTCAATTTTACAATAGTTACTGAAGTTCCTTCTTCCCTCGTCCATGGAGGGAGAACAGTTTGTTACCGAAGACGGCGTTCAATAATAGATCTTCGGTGGAGTAACAAGGCCAACACCTGGAGGCGTTTCATTTGCAGGCGTGTCATCCGAAACACTTTATTGCTTGCACACTGATTCCGGAGAATTTCCTGGGTCCTTGGAATAATTTTGAGGGCGCTGGGGCAGAGCGAGTTATACATCCCAGCTATAGAGATTGGCATGCTAGAGCATGCCTAAAGGGCATGTAAGGGAACTCGGGCCTAGAAATTTCAGAGCAAGGTGCGATACAGCACGTTGTGGCAAGTTCTTTCTTTTTTTTTTTTTTGGGCATTTTCCACCCTAATCCGAAACATTTTCTGCAAGGAGACTTATCTCTTAAGTTTCCTTTAGCTCGTAGGACTCCTATATGCTTCAAGACTCCTTCCTCTGTAAAAGGAGTTGTTGCCCTTTGAAAACAACTTCTGAAAAAAAAAAAAAGAAAATATTTCTAACCGCTGTAGAAAACTTTACAGAAATTTTAGTTATTCTTGGGAAAGAAAATCTGCAATCCAACGCAGTAAAGAGTCGACGAAGGAGATTTTCCTCAATCCCAACTAATTGGAATAGCTTACCATCTTTTATTTGAAGGATTTGTCTTAAAAGCCGCCCCAAGAACATTCAAGAACTGTTAGATGAATTTAGGGACTGTTATTTATAGTCTCAAAAGCATATATTTCTATTTCTGATATCAAAATTTTAAAAATATTATTTTTTTAAATAATATCTTTGAAATATAAGTTCTAAAAATTGAAATATTTTACTTTTAAAACTGAATACAACTTTTAAACTGTGCTTGGTTTTTGAAACAAGTTGCTCCACTTATATTTAAAATATAATTTTTTTATTATATATAATATCATATAATAATATATATTTTATTATATATTAAAATATGAATATAATACATTACATATATTATATGAACATATATAACATATATATGTATATGTACATATAATAAATGTTATATATTATGCATATAATATATAATTTTATTTAATGTACTATTTTATATATTATACATAAATACGTAATATACACATATACATACACATACACATACACATATAATGTGTGTGTATTATATATATACATATATATCCTTCCTAATATTTTAGTTATTTTTCACTTTAATTTTTTATATTTTAATATTGTTAATTCAATCTTATATAAATTTCTTAATTTATTTTTTTTCTTTATTTGAACCTCTAACATTTTAATTTTTTTACATAAATATTTATTTCAAAAATAATATATAAAAGAATATAATTTCAAAAATATATCTTAAAAATACACGATAAAAGAATAGTATTTCATTAGTTTTTAAAACATTATACTTTAAAGGCGTGTCTCAATTTTAAAAACATGTGTTTTTAAAGTTAAAAAGAATGGCCCCTATAGCCTGTGTTGTGTTTTGAATTTAATTGGAAGGATTTGGATGGTTTTTTTTTTTTTTGATATATAGTAATTGACATGCTTGACCTTTGTAATTGAATTAATAATTTAGTTCTTTTTCTGTTATTGTTTTATACATTGAGTTTTGGTTCTTCGAATTATCACTATTGGGAATCTGTTTTATCTACTGTTGTACTCTTTTATACATAACTATAAGTGGTGTAAAACTAAATCCAGTTATAAGGTAATCAGAGAACCTATTTCAATGTTACAAGTTAAATGCTAACTAGCCAACTATAACAAATTTAATAGTTAACAATAGCAAGGTACTTACCTTTTCTACATTAAACTTAGCCGAGCAAATTACTAAACTATCGACAAGCAAAACTAAAGCGAATGGCCAACAAGAAAAGACCATTAACAGAGTTCCAAAAAAAAAAAAAACTGGGATAACCCGATTTCTCACCTTTAGCCTTGAGAATCAACAAGAACTAATTCCCTCCAAAAAAAATGGAGTTATGATCTACGAGAATTTCTTATTTGATTTGGGACAACCCAATTTCTCTCACCTTCGTCCTTAAGAATCAACAAGAACTAGTTCCTTACATTAAAATGCAATTATGATCTGCAAGAATTTCTTATGGGATTGGGATTTGATTGAGGATTTTATTTAAATTAGATTTGTTTGATTTAATTTAGATTAGATTTAAATTTGTTTAGTATTTGATTTAAATTAAATTGTTTTAAACCATCTTCCTTTCTAAAGATTATCTTGAAGGAATTCTTATCTTTTAAAAAGTTTGCCTCACTTGAAAAATCTCACTACTTCAAAAACTTCTTATCTATGAATAAAAAATATTTCCCATTGAAGAAAAATGAGAAAATCTATGAAATTTCAAAAATATCAAAAATTTTGAAGCAAGAAAATTCTCATAAACATACAAGTAGAGAGAGAAGGTGGAGAGCTGTATTATTATTTACAACAATTAAAATGAAAGAGGTAAAAAAAAAAAAGGAAATCAAATTAATTGCATTTTAATATTTTACAAAATTTACTTTTGAACTAATTAAAAATTGAGTAAAAAAAACGAGGCCAACGGCTGCCCTGCCCCATAATACATAGGCCATCTTGGGCCATCTATTTTTGGACCATGTCTGGCTGGACCAAAAAATTTCAGATTTGCATTTAACTAACCCAGCTTAGTTTATTTCAAGGTTTGAAAAATCAGACCGTTTATCAAAATCGGAAAAGTTACCAGTTTACGATTCACTGGTCTAACTGTCAATTGAATCGTGACGTCATAATTATATAATATTTATATTTATATTTATATAAATACAAAAAAAAAATTTTAAGGTCAATATTATTAATCATTTATAATAATATCAATTATATTCAAGATTCAATTATTATAGTGCATGCAAAATAAAAATAACAAACCATTAATCTATCATTCAAAATAAATATGAAGAATTTAAATTTGTTTATTTTTATAACTATTCTAAAAGAAAAAAAATAGTTCATATGTCATAATTTCTCTCACGCTGTTACAAATTGACTCAAAAAAGAATAATATCAAATAATTATAAAAATAAAAATAACATATAAAATTAAAAATAATTAAATTAGTTATATCCATTCTTTGAAATGTAGTATAAGGACTCAAATTTACATCTTTTTTATTTTTTGTGAAATATTAATTATTGAATTAAATTTAATATAAAATAATTTTAATTTTATATTTTATATTACACTTTTTAATTTAAAATTTTATGAAATATGTGAATTATTCATTATATGATGAAATTAGAATAAGTTAATTTAAAATAAATTATCAATATATATTTTAACAAATAATAAGATTACACCAAAATAGTAGTGGTCTAATGGTAGAATAGTCAGTATTCTATGTAATAAAACTCAAGTTCAATTCATCCCTCACGCATTACTTTAGCAATTTTATCAAAAATAATTGAACCGGCCGGTTTGCATTGAACTGTGATCGGTTCACTAGTTCAAATGGTTTTCAAAAAATAAACCGGTTTTCTAGCATATATCGGTTTTTTAGCAAGAACCGGACCAGTAATATAATCGATCGACAGTCCAATTGGTCCAACTGGCCGGTCCGGTCTGGTTTTTCAAACCATGGTCCATTTGTCAAGCTATTCATGGTAATCAATCAGGCTCGGATCATTTTGACATAGCTAAGGTACATATCATAGGATGAAATGTCAGGGAAGGAATATGAATGAGAATAGAGATGGGAATGAGAATAGGAATTTTATAAAATAATGTATGATACGTAGGTTAGAATAAGAATTCTTGTTTATCAAGGAATAAAGATTTTATCAAATAATGGAAATTGAATTCTATCACCCTTTTGATTTCATTCCATCAGTTAAATATAAAATTATCTTATTATTCTTTATATTTTTAACAAATGATAAGATTACCCTAGACATACTAAAAGTTAAAAATCTATCGAAAACTCTTGGTTGTCTTTTATAAGTTTTAATTACTGCATACACACAATATATATATATTATAATATTATATTGTTGAATTATTTATTTTGAAATTTAATATTTAAGGTTAGAATATAAAATTTTCAATTTTTTATTTTTTATATTATATTAAAAATAAAATTTATTATACTATTTCTAATAAATGAAATTTTTATTTTTTAAACTTTTTTTTATTTTCTTTCTCACTTTCATTCTAAAATACTAAACATAACAACATAATAAGAATTTTTATTCTATTATTATATACCAAACGTACTTGTGAAAATCTCAATCTCGTTTTATTTTTTTTATTTTATTTTTATTTCTCTTTTCATTCTTTCAAAAAGCATTTTATCGTATCATTGATGACATAATATTAAATAATTTTAATTCAAATATTTTAAGTTAATGATTTGAGTTCAACAGATTGTTACAAGTAACATTTTTATTTGCAAGGAATTCTACAGTGCGGATGGTTTCCAATGGTAGCCTTGGAACTAGTGCCGATGGTTTTCAGTGATGGCTTGGGATCTAATTTGGGCCCTACTGCGTGAAATAACAAAATTACTCATTGGCATTCTACTTGATAAATTATACTGGTTCCATTAGACATTCACCGCACAATGTTTTTTTCTTTTACGTGTCTCAAAATGTGATTTCTAAACTACTAGTCAACATTCCTTTTTCACCTTCCATCTAAATTCTTACTAGAGCGATAGCAAAACAGCCACATGAGTCAGATATGTGCCTCTCGCCTGTCAATAGAGAAAATTTTAACATTTATCCTCTTCTAGTTTCACCACTATTACTACTGGCCATCAATTATTTGGGACATGCCCCCTTGAGGAGATTGAATTCTGCTGTCTTTAAAATTGTCTCTAGTCCATATTACTATACCTTCCACTGGTTATTCTTATCCAGTATCCCTTTTAGAAAGCAAAATTTAATTCAAAGCGCGTGCAAATATAGCGCAAAGTAAGTGCTCTTGACTAGTTTACTTCGGGAGTTGATATCTACATAAACTTCTAATTTAGCTAGACAGCCTTTCTCTGTATACACATGTTGTGAAACACTTTAGAATTCATGTGGGAGGAGCTGAATTTGGGCCTTCAAAAGTACATGAGGTGGGCTTTACTGAAACATAGACCAACCCAAGAAAAAGATAACTACTGTAATACATGTCATTTGTGAAATACAGATGAAGATTAAAAAAAAAAAACTAAATGTTATGCTACCGTTTTTAAGAAAAAAATTTAAGCAAATTAGAAGAAAACACTAGAAAGGTAAATATGCAATACTAGACGTTGATAATATCAATATTTCAACGTGGTTGGTTAGATGTAAATTGTCGCAATGAATCAATTTTTAAAACCAGATAATTATCAAATTAGTAAGGTTGCCTAACCATGGTTCAATTGATTTAATGATCCGTCAAACCAGTTAATTGATAATTAAAAAATGTTAAAAATATAATTAAAATTAATAAACATATTACTTAATCACAAAATTACAATATCTCTACCTCATGATGAGTGTGGCTATAATTTATATTACACAAATACATTATTTGAAATCAGTTTTAACAAATTGGTTAAAACTAACTAATTTTCCTATTTTTGACTAGTTCTAACTAGTCAAAATATTTTCGATTAAAAGGTCTTGCTCCATTTGTCAGATTAGGTCATATTTAAAGCAAGCCAACTTATTAGATACTCTAATTTGAATTTTAAAACATTATAACTAATTCAGGTTTTTGGATTCTTGCAAACGAAGGGCTAACACCCATACTGTTCTCCTCTCCCTTCTTGTTGGAATAATGTCAAGGCCGTGCCGTTCTAAAAGGTTTTCGACTTTCCTTTTCACTTCTCAACCTGTCCTCCTCTTTGATGTCAATTCCGTTATTCACTCCATCAATTGTGGCAAGAAAAGCTTAGTTTTTTAATGTCAAAATATCAAATAATATTAAAGAAAAAAACTGTTCTTGAATTTCCCGCCTGCCACCAGGACTCCTCTTTCTAACCTTATTATTGTCACATTTTGCAAGGTAACCGCTGGGTTGAAGTTTTCACTCCCAAGCGATAAAGCCCAAAAGTGGAGGGTCTAATTAAAAAATCCTAGGGGCTTCATTGAATGAATTAATAGTTGCAGCTACTACAATGAATGAATCAGAAATTCAGAGACTAAGCCTCATCTGCTAAATGAGATTCACTGTTCATGTCATTCTTTCGTAACAGTTATGTGATTCTCCCTAATGGTTTTGAGCTACTTTTTGTGGTCGTGAATTTTTCTTAGAGTACTTTGCGTCCAATTATGGTTTCGTGTTGGTTTTCGTTCTTTGTGGTGTAGCGCGAATCGTTTCTAGTGTGGTTGCTTTGCGGCTTTGTATATGTGTGTGTGTGTAAAGGAAAGTTCATAAAACAATTAACATAAATGAAGATAACATTCATGTTGATATTCCTCTACACAAGGCTGTCTCAACTAATCATCCTCTGGAAGAGGACCTCTTAGCTAAACGCGTTGTTTTCGCTATGGAAATCATTAGCTTAAAGGCGTCGTTTGCTAGGAAACTGAAACCTGACGGGCTTAGCCCCTTGCACCTAGCAGTGCAAAGTGGGCAGTCTGAGATCGTAAGGCGGCTCGTGGTGTTTGATAAAGAGCTGGTACGGCTCAAGGGACGGGGGGAAGCCACTCCTCTACATTTGTAGCCGCAGGAGATGACGATTGCAATCTTTTGGCAAGATTTCTAATTGCCTGCCCTGAATCAATTAACGATCGTACAGTTCATGGTGAGACTGCATTGCATATTGCCGTCAAGAACTCCAAGGTTACAGCTGTGGAAGTCCTTTTGGGATTGATCGGGAAAGACCAACAATACACGGGTCCTCAACCGCAAAGACAAGGATGGCAACACTGTCTTGCATTTAGCGGTCTCAATTTTGCAGCCGGAGGCCGTGATTATTATTATTATTATTATTATTATTATTAATTTTTTGAGCTTTCAATGAATAAAAGATAAACCTGTGTGATGCAGATAGTTGAGTTACTAGTAGCAAAAAAATGCATGAACAAAGAAGAAGTGAACTTAAAGGGCAATACTGCCTTGGACGAGGCCAAACAACTGCCTCAAGGAGAGGCCAGTTCGAGAATTAAGAAGATTCTGCACGAGGCAAGAGCTTCAAGGAGTTTAACTCTACCTAGTGAAGAGTACAGCCTTGTTGATTACTTGAAGTCGCCGGAGCAGTTCCTGGAAAGAGTTTTTGAATTCATTATTCCTGGCCAAAGATGTTTGCCAATGAAAAGGCGCAACACGATTCTTGTGGTTGCCGTCCTGATTGCCACGGCGACCTTCCAGGCCAGTCTTCAGCCTCCGGGTGGACTACTTGACACAGGGACAATAACAGAAATGGCAACCTTCTCACCAATGGAACCGTCATAAATGCCACCATGTCCACCGGCTTTCCAGCTAATATCACCCACATTAACGCCACTATATCCACCACAGCCACCACCAGTAGTAGTGCCACTAATCCTGTGATCGAGTGCTCTTCAAAGGGCGGAAAGGGAAAGATATTACGCACAGATTCTTCTTCTCCCATTTCTACTTGATGAATAGTCTTCATCGCCTCCATCACGGTGATCATCATCGCCTTCCAACCGCAACCGTTCTTTATTAATTTGACCCTACTGGCTTCGCTGCTCTTCCTAATGATAAGCTACGGCTTCGCCTTTATAGCCATATCGCCCTCTTACTCATATGCTTTTGCTTCTATGGTGGTGTCGTATGCTTTGCTTCTTTTGGGGTTTATGTCTTCAAGATTATACGTTACTACATAGAAGCGAGTGCACGTACAGGCGAGAAATACATCTGGATGACACGCCTGCAAATGAAACGCTTCCAGATGTTGGCCTTGCTGATATTCTCTATGACTATTTAGTAAATGCATTTTCAATAAACGACTACATACTTATTTTTATGTTTAAACGAGTATAACCTCGTATCCAATTTTTGACGTCGTGTTTGTAATATGTGGGGAATTTATAAAAGAAAATTTCATAATTAAAGTCACTAATTTCAAATTTTGGATAATTTATCAAATTATTAGAGTTTGGTTCGTCCCAAAATATTTGATAAAAATAATAAAAATGATATTTGATTTATAATATGATAACAAAAGAATAATAACAATAATGTTAATAATTTTATTTAATTTATAGGTTATCTTATTCAGAATTTCAGACAGGACAGGAGGGCAAAGTTAGAAGTTTCCAATTTAAGAGGGGAAATGTCATTGAGCATATCGTGGCTTTAAAATATTCGTTCGGTCGGGTTTGCATTCATTCATATATGCCCTTTTCTCTTTTCATATTAGAGAAAATATGCACTCAATAATTATATTTAATTATTATTTATTCTTAAAATTTATGATGGCTAAAATTAAATAAATAAATATATATATATAGTGAATATATTACCCCTAGATATCTATAAATAGAAGTTTAATCAATATTTTTGATAAGTAAAAATAATAACATCAAAATAATTTTCAGCGTACAAAAATGTACGTAGTTATTATAATTGATTCACATAATTTTTTATGTGTGATATATTTATTTTTTCTTATCTCTTCTTTTATTTTATTTTTTTCTATTTTCAAATTATTTAGTAATGATAATGTCAATTCAATTTACAAAAAGTAGCTTAATTTAAATGGAGACCTATGTTTTTTGGTTGATGAAATAATTTAAACAAAGACCTTAAATTTTGGGTAAACTTTCACACACAGCCTATTCTCTGTTAGAACAGCTCGCCTCATACTATTAGTAAGATTAAAGAATAAACCTAATAATTATAAGCTAGGAAAATTTAACCTTCAAGATATAATTAGATTGGTGAACCATGAACGAGACTGTATATAAAAAATATTTATTAATTGACGCAACAACTCCAGAAATATTTATCCAATTAATTAATGGTAATTTGTATAATTCTTTTCATGGCTAATCCCCATATATGCCTTATTTAAAAGTTGACTTCATTAGTCAAATTCATTGATAATAGATAAAATATAAATAATGACTGGCTGAAACATATTAAAGACTTGGCTTTGACCATTAACTAAAACAGATTGACAGCCCCCCAGCAGTTTATGTCGTTATTTAAAAATGGCCTTCTGTTTTCGTCTTCATTTTTCTTGTCTTCTCGTCGTCTCTATTTATTCAATTATAGTATCTGCTTTTTTATGACCCGTGAGTCCAGCAAGTCTTTCTTCCATTTTTATCATGCTGGAACGTAAGCAATGAGTGCTCATTACGTCCGAGTAAGTGGTGGAATTAACTAGGGAAAGCAAAGTGTTTAACTATTGGATTTGGGTCGTGCTGATTTAATGGTTGAACTGAAACAGAAAAAAAAAAAGAAACAAAATTTTATCTATTATGATAAATACCTCATCAAGAAGAATGTTCAACAAATCCAATTAATCAGTTTAGACCGCTGAAAACCTCAGTTTGGATTGGGTTGGAAAGGGATATGGTTTTATTTGATATTTAATATCTAAACAGATCATATAAAATCAAACTAAATTATATAGTTTATTATATACAGAATTAAAAATCTAATATATATATATATATAGTTTATTTTTACTATTTGACCGTATAATTTTTCTTTTTGTTATCTTTTATATTCATACTTCTTCTAATAATTTATTATTTTTCTTTTATAAAAAGTGATTTTTATTAGTATAATTTAAATTTTATTATATTATATAAAATATATTTGTTGTATAATGTGTAGTTAATATAGTTTTTGATAGATAATAAATTTGTTGAATTAAGTAAGTTGGAAAAAAATTTTGAATGTCTAATTTTTAGAAAAGTTCTATCAAAATTTTTTAAAAATAGTGAATTTAATTAAGTTTATACTTGAAAATTATAAAACCATAATTTAAAACCTAATTAAATCATAATTCGTGATTTAATTTAATTTTTAAAAATTAAAAAACTATAAAACATAGTTTAGTTTAAATTTAAAAATTAAATTGAGCTAAACTAAAGCATGAACTTCACAACTCATCAATAATGAAGCTTGGCAGTTAAGAATAGATTGTTATACTTAATCTTAAATTCTACCATGTCATTTACTTTTTAACATCAAACTAGACAAGAATACAAGTCTTAAAAATTTTCTTTTATCATGATCTGAAATCAAGTTTAGGTTTAGGAAGGCTATTGTGTTGAAAGATGTTGGAGAAGACAACAAATTTGTAAGGCCTAACTGAACCTAATAGAATTATTTCAGTATGATTATCGAACTTGTGATGGTAGAATTTCAAACTTGTGGGTTCTTTTTATTGAGGTTGGGGTCTGTGTAATCCTTTTCTTGGGGATGGGCTGTTGTTGTCTTCAGTTTAGGTCGACTTTTTCATAGATCATCTGGTTTGCTGGGGCACCTATTATGTTAGATGTAGGGTCTTTGTTTTGCGTATGGCTTAGGATTGTTCTCTAGGAGCTTTTTCTGGTGGGTTATTTTGTGCTCGTGCTCTGAATGACAGCTTGTAGAAATGCCTTCTTTTGGTGCAGAAGAGTTTGTTAAGTAAGTTTGAATAGTTTGATAGAGTTGAATGAATATCTGACTTCTATTTTGCAGATATATATAATAAATAGAGAACACCATCACTAAAAATGGACAAGAGGGTGACAGGAAATATATATGATGAAAGTCGGCGAGCAAGTTGGCGGAGAGTCTTTCCATTTTCATTATAAAAATCGAAACTGCAACTTTTAACTCTTATCAACCACGGTAAGGCAACAATTGACTGATTCAATCTCCATGGAGTTGCAAATCCAGGTAAAACTGTCTGACTTTTTCTGTGCTCTTAATTCAAAAGGAGGGTGAAATATACTTCAACAATCACATGTCCCCGTTTTACAAAATCCCAAGTTCAAGCGCTTCTGACTTTGCTTGAAACCAATGCCCATTCGTAAAAAAATTTTAAAATAATTATATCAAACAAATCTAGTGTTATTGAAAAATGTCAAAATGCTGATTGTAATGATTTTTGAAAAATGTTCCTTCATCAAAGGGAAAATCTGAAAAATTAACTAGAAATATTTTTAACAGCGTTCGGCGTTTTTGGCAAGCAATGGAATGACTATTGGCTCCAATCACTCGCAACGGCGTCAGGCTTTATATATATATATATATATTCTGTTTTTTTTCCACTAATATGAGGATACAGCTTTTCACCTTCTCTCTCTACTCGCATGTCTTGCTTCAAAAGTTTGGATATTTCTGAAATTGTCATAGATTTTCTCATTCTTCTTCAATGGGAAATATTTTCTATTTATAGGTAAAAAGTTTTGAAATGGTAAGATTTTTCAAGTGAGACAAACTTTCTAAGTGATAGGAAGTCCTTTCAGATAATCTTTTAGAAAGGACCAGAGTTTTTTTTTTTAATTATATTAAATAAATTTCGTCCTAAATATTTGATAAAGATAATAAAAATGATATTTGATCTATAATACAATAACAAAAGAATAATAACAATAATGTTGATAATTTTATTTAATTTATAGGTTAACTTATCAGAATTTCAGACAGAAGGGCAAAGTTAGAAGTTTCCAATTTAAGAGGGGAAAAGTCATTGAGCATATTGTGGCTTTAAAATATTCGTTCGGTTCCGGTTTGCATTCATTCATTTATGCCTTTTTTTTTTTCATATTAGAGAAAATATGCACTTTATGATTATACATTTAAATGTTATTTATTCTTAAAATTTATGATGGCTAAAAAAATTAAATATACATAAAATGACTATTTTACCCCTAGATATCTATAAATAGATGTTTAATCATTATATTTGATAAGTAAAAATAATAACTCCACAAAATTGTCAGCATACAAAAATGTAGGCAGTTATTATATTTGATTCACATAATTTAATATATTTGTTTTTTCTTATATCTTCTTTTTATTTTATTTTTTTGCCTATTTTCAAATTATTTAGTAATGATAATGTCAATTCTATTTACAAAAAGTGGCTTAATTTAAATGGAGACCTATGTTTCTTGGTTGATGAAATAATTTAAACAAAGACTTTAAATTTTGGGTAAACTTTCGCACACAGCCTTTCCTTTAAATTAGAATAGCTCGCCTCAAACCATTAGTAAGATTAAAGAATGACCTAATAATTATGTTTTAAGAAAATTTAACCTTCAAGATGTAATTAAATTGGTAAACCATGAACCGGCAGTGTGTATAAAATATTTATTAATTGCCGCAACAATTGACCAGAAATATTTATCTAATTAATTAATAGCAATTAGTATAATTCTTTTCATGGCTAATCCCCATGTATATGCCTATTTAAAAGTAGACGTCATTAGTCAAATTCATTGATAATAGATTAAATAGTAATAATGACTGGCTGAAACATATTTAAAGACCTGGCTTTGACAATTAACTAAAACAGATTGACAGCCTCCCAGCAGCTTATGTCGTTATTTAAAAATGGCCTGCCGTTTTCATCTTCATTTTTCTTGTCTTCTCTTCGTCTTTATTTATTCATTTATAGTATCTGCTTTTATTGACCCGTGATTCCAGCAAGTCTTTCATCCATCTTTATCATGCTGGAACATAAGCAATGAGTGGTCATCACGTCCGAGTAAGTGGAGGAATTAACTAGGGAGAGCAAAGTGTTTAACTATTAGATGTGGATCGTGCTGATTTAAGGTTGAACTGAAAAAAAAAAAAATTATCTTATTCAGATAAATACCTCATCAGTAAGAATGTTTAAGAAATTTAACTGATCAGTTTAGACAAGTGAAACCTTAGTTTAGATTAGTTTGGAAAGGGATATGATTTTATTTGATATTTAATATCTAAATAAATTATATAAATTGAACTAAATCACGTAATTTATATATATGTATAAATAAAATTTATATATATATGTATATATATAGTTTATTTTTATTAATTGACTGTATATTATTTTTTATTATCTTTTATATTTATATTTCTTCCAATAATTAATTTTTTTTTCATGGAAAGTGCTTTTTACTAGTATGATTCAAATTTTATTATATCGTATAAATATATTTATTGTATAATGTGTAGTTAATATAAATAGCTGATAAAAAATGAATTTGTTTGAATTAAATAGGTTTAAAAAAATTTTAAAATGTTGAATTTTTAGAAATATTCTATCAGAATTGTTTAAAAATAATAATTTTAATTAAGTTTATATTAAAAATTATAAAATCGTAGTTTGAAATCTAACCAAACCATAATTTACAATTTAGTTTTTATTTTAAAAATTAAAAAACTGTTAAAATATAGTTAAGTTTAAATTTAAGAATTAAACCGAACTAAACTGAAGCATAAACTTCGCAACTCATCAATAATAAAGCTTGGCAATTAAGAATAGATTGTTATAATTAATCTTAAATTCTATCAAGTCATTTACTTTTCAAAATCAAACCAGACAAGAATACAAGTCTTAAAAATTTTCTTTCATCTTGTATCTGAAACCGAATTTTACTGAAGGATGTGAGGAGAAGACAACAAATTGTAAGGCCTAACTGAACCTAATAGAATTATGAGTACGAGGAATCTGTTCCGGTGACATCTCATTTATCGAGCTTGTGATACTAGAATTTCAAACTTGTGGGTTCTTTTTATCGAGGTGGAGGTCTGTGTAATCCTTTTCTTAGGGATGGGCTGTTGTTGTCTTCAGTTTTAAGTCGACTTTTTCATCATCTCGTTTGCTAGAGCACCTATGTTATGTTAGATGGAGGGTCTTTGTTGCGGGGCTTAGGATTGTTCTCTAGGAGCTTTTTTTGGCGTTATTTTGGGCTCGCACTCTGGAATGATGCTTGTAGAAATGCCTCTTTTGGTACAGAAGAGTTTATTAAGTTTGGAATAGTTTGATAGAGCTGAATAAATATCTGATTTCTATTTTGCGTGTATATATAATAAATAGAGAACACCATCAGTCAAAATGGACAAGAGGGTGACGGGAAATATATATAATGAAAGTCGGCGAGCAAATTGGCGGAGAGTCTTTCCATTTTCATTATAAAAATGGAAACTGCAACTTTTAACTCTTATCGACTACGGTAAGGCAACAATTGACTGATTCAATGTCCATTGTGTTGCAAATCCGAGTAAAGCTCTCTGACATTTTCTTTGTTTTTTAATTCAAAAGGAGGGGGAATAGACTCAAACATCAGCAACCACGATACACCCTAGTTGTACAAAATCCCTAGAGTTCAAGCGCTTCTGGCTTTGCTTGAAATCAATAGTTCTCTGCAACACATGTCCTAGAGAAGTATCAAAAATCCATCCCATTGGTACCCATATGCAAGATTGGTTATAACTTTGATATCTAATTGGTTATGATTTACAAAGTAAATGGTTGGTTCATATTAAAAATCATGTCATTGATGCAACAAGAAGGGTGTATGATAAGGGCGAAATCTGTATTATATTCAATAAGTCACGACTCTTGGGTATGAAATTGACATTATGTATATGACAGCAATGGCCTTGCTACCCATTTAGCCAAAAAAAAATGCTTATTTCTTTGCAGTATTATGTCTATATAAACATAAACAGAATCGTTTCTGATTTGTTCCATAAGCTATGCTTTCTTGGAGAAACTGCTTCTTCATTTGGACAGAATAGCAGTACTCAACGGGCGTTCCACACTTTGGTTGAAGAGGAGGGGGAACCTAGCCATATTTTAATGTCAGGCATTTTTAATCCATCGAAGAATTCCTAAAATTAATAGGCCTAAACTATTTACTATCAACCTAACTGGAGGAACTGCTGAAAGTCAACACACAATTTGATGATAACATCCCTGATGACGTTATTAGGTGTTATCCGGCTAGCTATGGACCACAGTTCAGCTATTTTTATTTGGAAAAATATTTCAGAATTGATAATTGTTAATAGAAAACTCAACCCACTTTCCTCCCCAATATTTAAAGGAAAGGAAAAAAACTAATTAAAAAATATGGTAACAACTTCACCATAGTACTTGTAGATAAACCTGTGCAGAATTAACAAAGATATTAATGAAGCAGAATCAAAGAATTAGTCCAGTCTATTGGGGTGTTTTATATGTTATTTAAATCTGCGAGTATTGACCTACAAGCTTGAGATTCACAGGCCGTCTGGGTATCGGCAAAATGAAAGATCATCTTCAAAGTGCATGTTTCTTAGGCGGGGTGTGGGGCGAATTAATGGATCAGAGGTTGAAGGAGGCTGCTGAGGCAGGGGATTTGAATGCCCTGTATGCCTCAATAAAGCAGAACCCTTATATTCTCCACAAATAGATGATATTCCTTTTGTTGATACTCCATTACACTTAGCTGCATCTTCTGGAAAAACCCATTTTGCAATCGAAAATTATCACTTGAAACCAGCGTTCGGGAAGAAACTAAACGCGGATGGCCTATCGCCCTTGGACCTAGCCCTGCAAAATGGGCACTTTGAAACCGCGAGGCAGCTTGTGAAGTTTGATATTGAGCTTATCCGAGTCAAGGGAAGGGAGAGGATCACTCCTTTGCATTACGTAGCCGAAACAGACAACATCGATCTTTTGGCTGAGTTCTTGTACGCTTGCCCTGCCTCGATTGAGGACTTGAACATTCGAAATGAGACTGCTCTGCATATTGCGGTGAAGAACTTCAGGCTTAGAGCTTTCAAAGTTTTGCTTGCTGGCTCTTGAAGACCCTCAGAAGAGAAGTGCTAAACTGGAGGGACGAGGATGGAAACACTGCCTTGCATATAGCAGTGGCCACTAACCAAACCCAGGTGTGTTGGTTCTCTCTTGGTTACTAGTTCTCTATTACTTGAAGTGGGTAGGAACGCTCCTCGAATTTGTGGGTTTTTCTTTGTAACTCTCTTGATGGCCTTTATATTATTTGGGCTTAATTGATCAATAAATAACCTGCAAGAAGTGGTATATAGCTAGCCAATATTAATATGGATGAATTTCGCTTGCCCCAGTGAGATTTGCCTAAACGGTGACTTCACCTGTTTAGAACCAAATGGACACTTCCTTGCGATAGACGGAGTCGGTACATTAATCAGACGACTTTTGTTTTTATGTTTTGAATTCGTAGAATACTTCAAACTTAAAAATTATTTTACCTCCTTGAATTATTTTTTCTATTTATTTATTTTTTTAGAGTTATTGTACCATTTATTTCTTTTCAAATTAATATTGTTAAGTTAGTTGTTATATTTATTTCCTAAACTTTCAAAATTAATTATTTTAATAGTTGATCATTTAGAATAATTAATTATTTTATTTAGTTAATTATTTTTTATAATTGATAATAAATATTATTAAATGTATTTAATTTTATATATTAAATTAAAATATAGCTAAAATTTATAAAATTAGTTTAGATTGTTTTCGCAACCTAACTAAACAAAAATAATAACTATTAATTAAATAATAAATTTATTATTGCCAATTATAAAACTAATTAACTATACTAAAATGATCAACTATTAAAAAAATTAATTTGAAAGTTTAGGACATAATATAACAACTAGCTTAATGATGTTAATTTTAAGGGAGGAATTGGTACAAGGAATAGTTTAAAAGAGAGAATAAGATATAAAAGAAAGATAAAGGAGACAGTAATTTTTACCTATACTTTAATATCATAGGATGATACTAATATTATTTTATTTTTATAAAATAATATTATATAAATGTAACACAATATATATAACATAATAAGTTAGATCTTAAATTTTAAATTGATCTTTTCTCAAAACAATTCTCCCAAAATTAGAGGAGGGTATTACATTTAAGGCTGTCAATGAGTTGGATTTTAATTCGAATTTGATCTGAATCCGATCCGAATTTTAGACTGTTTAACTAATTAAAATATTCGATGAATTAAATCCCGATTATAAATATCCGTAATCTGAAATAAGTGAACCGAATATGGAATTAAGCAATCCGATTCGTAAAAATCCGAATATGAATATTTTAATAATAATTTTTATTTAATCAATAATTATATATATTAATAAATACTTTTATATATAATGTAATATATATGACATTATAATTAATAATGCACTAATTTATATTTGTGAGACATTTTATCTAATAGAATAATGTATATTTTTTCTAAACAATTCTATAATATTCTTCTACTTTCCCTAATTTTAGTTTTTCTAGTAGATATTATATTTAATAATTAATTACTTTTGAAATTCATGAAATACTTGAATAAATTTATTATAAAATTTTCTAAATTCTAACTATAATACAAATAAAACTTGATAATTTTATAAAGTATTGGAATCCTATCATCACTTTTGTAATATATTATATAACAAAAATTCATTTTAATCATTCATAAATAACAATTTATTTTTGAATTTTATTTATATTTTAATAAAAGAAAAATAATTAATATAAATTTTAACATGAATTTTTATCATTCATAAATAATAATTTATTTGATTTTACAAATCTTTTACTTATTGGTTATTTGATTTTAATTATTATTAACAGTCATTCGGATTGGATTTTTTATCGGATTTGGATTTTTATTAGGATTCGGATTCGAATTCGATAATAACAAGTAGAAATCATATAGGATTTCGGGTCGGATTTGGATATATATATATATCGATAATCAGATTCGGATTCGAATCATTCTAATTTGATCCAAATCTGACCCGTTTACATACCTAATTAGATTTAATTAGTATTAATTTAAGGTTTAGGGACCATAGTCGCCCAACTTAAAGCAGGGATCACAATTGTTCTATGAAGAAAGTTAAGAGATCAAATTGATCAAAATTAGATTAAAGGATTGATGGAAAACTTAATAACTTTTTGTTTTTTTGCATATATAATTAATGCAGGTTGTGAAAATACTAACAGAACAGAAAGTTAGAACCAACTCAAGAACTTGGAGGGATTAACTCCCCTAAACATGGCTGTGAGACTTCAAAATTATGTTAACAATGAGGAGGTTCGGAAAATTTTACTCCATGCAAAAGCTTCAGATCTCCTCTCTCTCGAAGACCTATAGTCTTGCTGATTTCTTGGGTTCAAAAGAGCGATTTTATGAGACTGCACTAAAATATCTTCTTTATTGGCAAAAAGATTTTACAATGGATAAGCGAAATATCGTACTGATAGTGGCTGTGTTGATTACCACTGCAACCTACCAAGGCGTACTCAGTCCGCCAGGAGGAGTTTGGCAAGCTCAAGTCGACACCAATCACCCAATTATTCCATCACCTACCTAATGGCAGTTTTCCCAATCCAACGTGGAATACCATCTCCGCTGTTGCTCTTATGCAAAACCAATCTTCGAATAGCACTGCTGGAAAAGTCATCATGAAGGGGGAGAGCTTGCTTGCCTTACTTTGAGTAATACAATAGTTTTCACGCTCTCAATCCTGGTGCTTATGATGGCCCTTCCTTGGGAACCTTATAGCTTCTTGCTGCATATAGGTTTGGCCTCTTTGTGGAGCAGCTACTCGACTTCCTTTGGAATCATATCGCCGTCGACTATTTATAACTCAATCTTGATTTTTGCCTGCATGTTTATTTTGCTTTTTGTTTATTATGCAAGGCTTACCTTTTGGGCTATTTCAGACATCAGAAATATCTATGGAAGTACTCTTCATGCATGCATTCTTCGAAAACAATACTTCTGGTGATACGCCTTCAAATGCTCTTAGGACTCTTGGAAGGGTAAACATTCATCAAAGTCAACCACTCCTAGACCGACCAAACCGGTCCACCAGGCCAACATAGCTCATGCTGTGATCCAGAAGTACAATGATGGATTGCCATTTAGTCGTGCATATATATGTGCTTGAGTGTTTTTTTTAGTAACTAGGAGAATTTTTATGCTTAATGCTGTCTTGTTTGCCTTCTTTCTTTTCTTTTCTCTGTACAACCTAGTTGAGATTACAAACTCACCTTGTATATTCTTAACTGAATCTTTTCCCAGAATGTTATCTTCAATTATGTTAATTGTTTTTGTGGACTTTCTTGTACACACACACACTTCTTTGGAAACATAATTCGTACAAGGCCACAAAGCAACCCCACTTAAAACAATTCGCACCACACCTCAAAGAACAAAACCCCAATCTCATGTAAGAAATCTTTGCAACTTTACGTGAATCAGCCCGCAAGCAACAACTAAAGGAAATCATACAAAAAAAACAATACCACAAATTAGCTTAAAACTATTGAGGGAGAATCACGTAACTGTTACAAAAAAAAAAGATGAACCGAGAATCTCAATTTGCAGATTTGGTCTTTAGCTTTTTGTCTCTTTTTGATCTGGTCTCTGAATTTCTGATTCATTAATTCTAGTCACTGCAACACCTAATGTTTTAAATGAATCCCCTGGGGTTTCAAGTTAAGCCCTCCACTTTTGAATTTTGTCACTTGGGACCGAAAACCCCCAACACAACGCAAGAGGAGGCAAAAATGGGATCAAAAAGGGGGTCCTGGTGGTGGCCTTTCCTTTTTTTTTTTTTTTTTGATGTTATTTGATCTTTAACTTTAAAAAACTACCATAATTGGAGTGAATAACGGAATTAACAACATCAAAGAGGAAAATAGGTTGAGAGGTGAAAAGTAAAGTCAAAGACCATCAGAACAGCACGGCCTTGCCATTATTCCCGACAAGAAGGGAAAGCTGAGAACAGTAAAATGGGTTTTAGCCCTTGATGTATAGGAATCCAAAAACTTGTATGTATTAGCTGTGACAATTGATACTATCATTCAGTGCTGTTATCTCTTGAAGACAAAAAATCATGACATGACAGTATATCCATCTTCAGTCATAACAACCAGCCAGTGCGCTTAAAAGGTAGGGAAAACACTTTGATGTATACAATGCGACAGAAGCCGACATGATAACAGAAAAAGCATGCAGATTCACATATTGTCTTTTAACCGTTTGTGCAGATGTACAAGCAGTTTAAAATCAGATATAGAAGCGTTATTCATCACTTCCATCAATGCAAACTAATAATGAGAAAGAAACATTCCCAAACGAATTGTTAATACTTAGATCTACATATTGTATTAAATAGAGGAATACTGACCATGTAAACATACCAAACAAGGGATTTCCATGATAATGTTATATATTATCAGTTTGATGATGATTGCCACGTAGAATATAACTTCCAGACCACCCTGCTTAACAACATAAACAATGAGGGACTACATAACAAAGGTAGTCCTCGACATCTGAAATCATAGTTGTAACTGAGGATAACAAATTAATTTGTTCTCGATAAAAACCATAACCACAATCCTCATCAAATCATCTTCAAAGACAGGAATTTGATGATGAACAAGCAGAGTTTAGTATACAAATGTTCAAACTAAAAGTACCAACATTAAATTGCTCAGTTGTGCTTAAATGTGGAAGCATACCATTGACTAAGGGTGAACGAATCAGTAATGAAGGAGAAATACGAAGCACATAGTACTATACACATCAAATCTTGGGAGTAGCACTAGGTAATGAACATCGATTTGCCAAAAACAATAAATGCATGATTACCAAAGCTAAATCCAATGAGGCTGTGTCCAAATCTGAATGAACAACGTTACATTGAATCCAAAACCCATATGGAAACTTAATTATCCATCACGATGAGTGCAAATTGTGCAATCAACCAACTTTCTGAAACATGCAGAACGTCAAACAG